GGGGGGGGGGGGGTGGGGGGATACCAATTAAGTACGTCGTGGCCTACAAATGAAAAGATATGGTATCACCACTAAAATTATAATTGTGTGCAAAAATTCTAAAAAATAGGTTCAGTAGAGTGATGTCAAGAATCGATCATAAGATTAATCGAAAACATGGAGGCTAACAAACAGGCATACAAAAAGGCATACAAACAGATATGAAAGCAACCCAAATAAAACCATGTCATTGCTCTGCTTGTTCTGTCGACCTATTTTTCACTAAAGTCACCCCAAGTGACCTGACCTGAGTGAATAAATCAATGATTAGATGTCTCGGGTTGATAGAGTCCTGAGGTGCGTGCTGTCGTCAACGTTTATTGGATGTCTCTTCAAAGTTTATTGTAAAGCTGTTGCCAAAATAATTATAATGTTAAATGTAAGTGATCACCATAATGTGAGCATATACACTTGAAGAGTTTAGCAGATTGCTTGAATGTATCTGTCTGTGTCTGAGAGATCTGTCTGTGATCCAAAAGAAACTTACACAAATTGACCATTTACTTAAACATAAAAGCGATTTTTAGATGTTTCAAATTTTGATGTCACGACTAGTCACAGGTATTTTTGATGTTCATTTCTTGTTTTCTTTTTAAATTAAAAACTAAACTTTTGACTACGATTTTTCCTCATCTATTTTGTTGAACTGCTTTTAAAAGAAATAATACTATGTCCAATTCCTTGAGTCAAAGTTACTTAATATGGTGTGTACGTCACACTTTGGTAAAATTCTATGAATTTACTGCAAGAATTCAAGAATACATCATAGCTTACCAAAGCAAAAAAACAAAATACTTATTCTAACGAGCTACACAAATACTAGCAAATTTAATAGTAACACAGAACAACAACAAAAGCAGTGGTATTACAAATAACTAAAAAAGTATCAGCGTTATTCGTAGCACGGGTTCTTATAAAATAAAATACAGGTCTTGGTAAAAAAAAAAAAAAACTTTCATATCAATTGTCTTTATTTAAAATTGTAAAAAGTCCATTGACTAACGGCAGGCTTAAAGCATCGAATGACGAGCCATGCAAAGACACACTATTTAAGGCATCTAATGACATGCAAAGAAAAAACACACTATTTAAGGCATCAAATGACTAGCAATGAAAACCGTACTATTTAAGGCATCGAATGACTAGCAGTGCAAAACCTCCCCAGTTAGTTATTAAACCCTCTTGTACAAGATTGAATTATGTACACAAAAATGTTGATGTAAACTAGATTTACAGTTCAACAACAAGTTAAACTTATATTTAAAGAGTCGACTCTTTGAAATTGTGGCGTGCTGCTTATTCCGGGGACCTCTTACTCTAATTGTTTTAAATGTACCTAAGTTGTTCGCCCCGTCTCTGTCATTTGAGGACCGCCTTAGTCAACCAACAATAAAACGATCTCACCCAGGAATGTATGTGGATGTGCTTCCTAAAGCTGAGAGAATTATCTACCTGGTTGTTGAGGTGACCTGCATCGCTTACGGTATTATCTCCCTGTATCTGGAGGGCCAAGGTTAGTAGTCGTAGGTTCGATACATTTTCAAATGAACGGTTTCCTTGAAGCTTAGGCAATCGGTGCGGGATTAGAGCTGTGGTTACAAGAAGCAGCTGGGGTATTGATCAAATTCACCAGTAACAAACTCATGTGATGCCTTCGAGTATTTGATCCACAATTTTGACAAACCAATACTTTAAGCATTTTCCAAATATCAATCTCCTTCCAGAATACAGAGACATTCTGAGCAACGACAGCGTCCAGTCTGGTTGGACCTGGTTGGGGGGTGACCTGGTGAGTTGTTGCGCAACAAAAAATCGCTATTTGTTGACCATTAAAAAAATTAACTTATCATTGGCTAGAATAGATTTTTTAAACAAATAACATTGATGAACTTCTCTGAGGTCACTTTCAAGCAATCTTGACCATATCATTAAAAAATAATAACTTTTTTTACATTTGCGATCACATAATGATTTTTTTTAAGTGGGTCGGTGCTGAATAAAAGATTTTGTTAGAAATCTATACAGCTACAACAATTGTGTCCGGGGTCTGTCTCAGATACATATCACAGTTAACACAACGGTTTACGTGGTCTTTCTCCGATACATCCAACGATTATTCTTCACTTATATAAATAGACTTCAGATTAGGTAGATATAGCATATCTGGAGGCAAATTTAACACCATATTCTTAACAACACATTATCATTAACAAATAACTGTTGGCCAAAAACAAACATATTTTGTTCAACACAACAGCATTAACCATTGGTTGCTTGCCCCGAGCCTCTCAAGGTGCTGCAGTGTCTTCAGTTGTCTCGGGGGACACTTTAATAACGGGGACACAAACCTGTTAACATCTACTCCTCCACATTCGGCTCAATCTTTCATTTGCAGGAAGTAAATGACAAAGAATGGTTCGTTTGGCGAAACTCTCTCCCGCGGTTCTTCCTGTTCATCATCGGCCACGTCTGTCTGTCACAGGCTTGTTCTTTCTTAGGGACACACGTCAAGGTTCATTGATTAAACGCTTGTTAAAAACATGTTTTTAAAAATAGTTTGTTTTTTTAAACCCATCATACACTTTACAAAGCTGATATCAAATGTTATAAAATATATTCCATTACGATTTCAAATATTGTTAATCTCTCAAATAGTAGCTTAATATAAAGATATTTGTTTAAAAAATTTTAAATCATAATTTCTTAATATATGGTTATATTTATAAATTGATTATTTTGAAACGTAGAAAGTGACGAATTGTTTTTTTTCCCCCAATATTCTGTTTTTATAACGTGTTGTGGCACATGAAACGAAAGCTTTAATTTCATCTTTTGACCAGATGCGTGTATTGGTCCTCGCTCTGTTCGACCTGGGTACCATAGTCGTGTCTTTAGGAATCTGTCCTGTTCTGATAATGTCGACCGAAATCCTGATGATATACTTGGCCTCTTGCACCAATTCCATACCCTTTGTTTGGACCGTGGCGATGATCATCATTTTTTTCCAAGCGAATTATTATTTAATGGAACTGATGGTATCTAGCACAGATTTCAGTAATAATCTCAAAGTCTTATTTAACGCCACTGATGGTATCTAGCACAGATTCCAGTAATAATCTCAAAGTCTTATTTAACGGCACTGATGGTATCTGGCACAGATTTCAGTAATAATCTCAAAGTCTTATTTAACGGCACTGATGGTATCTAACACACATTTAAATTTTAAACTCAAAGTCTTATTTACTAGAACTGATGGTATCTAATGCACATTTTTGTATTAAAATAAAAATCTTCATTAATTGAACTGATGTTATCTAAAGCTTATTTCAGTATTAAAATCAATGTGTTAATTAAAGAGCACAAAAATGTGTCTTTGTGTATTTGCATAAGTCAGAAGCTGATATGTTTCGCAGATCGGGGGTTCAAACCTTGGGTACTTATCTCCTGTGGATGCATTTTAAAAGACGTAATGTATTGTAAAATGTTGCATTGAATTTAATGTTCAAATTTAACACTTTCAACAGCATCAAATGATAAACATAAGAAACTACAGTGAAATTATCTTCCCATTCTTTGGGGCATCTGGCTTTTTCTACCTTCATCTTGTTAGTTTTGCCATCGACAAAATTAAATGGAAGCAGTTCAAGTGTGACGAGGGGACATCCACTGCTGATCCTGACGGCGTCAAACAATGTGTGAAAGGCAATTGCAAGTCCATGACACCGGAAATGACGAAACAGCGCCTCGGCTCGTTTCCCGAAACCCCCAAATTTGATGACGTCACATCGCCTAGTTTCATGGATTTTGTATTCTACGCGTTCTACCTACCGACGTTTGCTAACGGCCCTGTTTATACATTCAGGCAATTCTATGAAGAAACGCAAAAATGTTTCAATGCCCAATCGTGCTCGGTTAGCTTGAAAGACGTCTTTAGAAACTTAATTCGCCTGATGCTCTGGAAACTTCTCCTCGACCTGGTGCTAAGAAATCTTCACTTGGGAATTTTGAAAGAGGCCAGCATCATCAACATTTTGTCCTTTCCATCCGTCTGCACCCTGGTCTACGTGCAGGGCCAGCTGTTTATGGTCAAGTACCTGTGTATGTACGGTGTCTGCGGGCAGCTGTCTCGACTGGATGGGGTCACCCCCCACCCCTCGCCGCGCTGCGTCTCGTACATCTATAAATTCACGGACTTTTGGAAGTACTTTGACGTCGGGATGTACCAGTTCATCAAACTGTACATCTACCTCCCGTGCCTCAGGGGCAGGTCGGACTTGTGGTCGAAACTCTCCTCTGCGGCTGTGGCGTTTTTGTTTGTGTACTTCTGGCATAACGCGTTTTTGGAAATCTTTCTGTGGGTCTTGGGCAGCTACCTGAGCACAGTTGTGGAAGCGGTTGCCAAGGAGATGGAAAGGTCTGCTGTAGCCGTTCGAATGGTAGGTGGTTGAGGGGGGCGGGGGTCAAAAGTTAAGAGCTGCGGGACAGTTTTGGCTTGAAGTACGTAGCGCATACTCGAATCTAAATAGCAAATCGTATCGTCTTTTTCAATGAAAGATAAATTCTCAGGCTAGACAAATCTTAATGCCTCAATGGTTTCTAATCTAAACTAGTTGTAATACATCAGAATCTCAAGCTATTAAAGGAAACTGGACAAAAATCTACCTGTGTAATGGTGTGTGATTTTTTTAATCCTTACACATACATTGATACCAGTTGTTTTGTTTGTTTCAATCAAGAAACATTTCCAAGTTATTAATCTCCATTGTAAATTGAGGCAAATTGTTTCCATGATGTATGTGTCGTCTTAAAACATACTTGGCCGATCGTTTTAATCTTTTGATTTCAGGCATTCAATGAAATACGAAGAAGAGCAATTTTTCATTTTCTACTGCTATTGTAAATGAACTCTTATCCAAAGTGCACCTTTACGACATCCTCAGAAATCCAAGATGAGCGAAGCCATGCAGCTGAGACTCAGAGTTATCCTCATTCTGCCCATGTACTTCTTTTCAGTTTGCCAGATTTCGTTTTTCTTTTTTGACTTTGATGCCGGTTTGGCGTTTTCCAGGAGAATATTTGTAACAGGTGAATTGTTTAATGTTACTATTAATTTTTATTTTTAATTTTTTCGTATGGTAAAAAGCTTTGATTTTCATAAAAGATGAGAAGATAAAGGAAGAATGAACGGGTGTGCATCTATCTGAGTGGCTACTCGGATGCTACAAACAAATTACATTGTATTTCATGATATCATCAACATCTGGTGCTGTCGTACGGTATTGTTGTTACGGCGACTCCTGGCGTGCTGTTTACTTGGCTCAAAGGCAATTTCTTGGGCGTGACATAAAAATTACATTGAATGTATGAATGCAGATTATTAACGTTATAAATTAAAGTTGCGTCACTAGGAGGTACAAGTGGGGATAAGGCATCACAGGGTGAGCCCCTCATAGGATTGTGACAGCAAAATGGAAAGAAGAAAAAATGCAAATTTGACAGATTTCGCTGGAGTCGGTTCCCTATCAGTCATTAGATAAAGACAAGAGCATGCTGTCATCCGAACAGTGTGTCGCCAGAGCCAGTTGCCACCAGAGCCAGTTGCCACCAGAGTCAGTTGCCACCAGAGCGGGTTGTCTCCAGAGCCAGTTGCCACCAGAGCCAGTTGCCACCAGAGCCAGTTGCCACCAGAGCCAGTTGCCACCAGAGCCAGTTGCCACCAGAGCGGGTTGTCTCCAGAGCCAGTTGCCACCAGAGCCAGTTGCCACCAGAGCCAGTTGCCACCAGAGCCAGTTGCCACCAGAGCCAGTTGCCACCAGAGCCAGTTGCCACCAGTATTGGTCTGAAAGGCGGGGCTGAAATGTTGTCACATGAGTTCTCCGCTTAATGAAATAAAAAGTAGTTCTATTTTTTTTTTTAAATACTGCATTTTAACTAAGAATTGTTGTAAAAACGAACGCATTAACCATCACAAAAATATTATTTTCAGCAACATGGGGTCAGCTTCTAGCAGTGACGCTGGTTGTACTGGCGGGGCTGCATAACGCCGTCTTCATCTCAAGAATACGACAGTGCTCAGAATCAAAACGCCATTAATTACACAAGGAAAAAAATCGAGTGATTTCGTGCACAAGTTTGAAGACGGTCAACTTTGAATTGATGATAATAAATAATGCATGGACCTTCAATACCATTATTGAGAAGAAAAATATTCCTGACAATTTTATTAGCCTTTTGTTTTATATCAGTGGTTCTTAACCTGGGTTCAGTCGAGCTCCAAGGGGTTCGGTGAGTCAGTCTCAGGGGTTCGGCGGAGGTCCAAAAAAAAAAAAAAAATCAGAAAAAAATTCAAATTTTATTTTTCCCATTAAGAAGGGTTCGGTGAATGTGCATATGAAACTGTGGGGTTAGGTACCTCCAAAAAGGTTAAGAACCACTGTTTATATATATATGTATTTATATATATATANTATATATATATATATATATATATATATATATATATATATATATATATATATATATATATATATATTGGTGTTTTCATGTCTATAAAAATTTACATGTATCGGCATCAGATTTTTATTGCTACCATTCTCGCTTCGTTGAAAATAAATATGCAGCGTTCCTTCGTTACCTTTATAAGCTGTTTCAGATGAATCAAAAACTATGAATTAATTATACAGTATTTCAAAACCCAAAATGTGCATTTTAGTTTCATCTACATGGGAAGAGATAATAATAATAATAATAATACAATTTATTTCAAAGACACTCTTCATCCCCAAAGGCTCGAAGCGCCATCCCCGAAGGCTCGAAGCGCCATCCCCGAAGGCTCGAAGCGCCATCCCCGAAGGCTCGAAGCGCCATCCCCGAAGGCTCGAAGCGCCATCCCCAAAGGCTCGAAGTGCCATCCCCAAAGGCTCGAAGCGCCATCCCCGAAGGCTCGAAGCGCCATCCCCAAAGAAAAAAAAAATTAAAAAATTATATAATTTACCACATTTAAAAGAAACGCAACACTACAAAAACTAATAACAAGCATAACAAGCCTAAGTCTTTCAGCCTATTTCAACAGGCGAAGAGAGTGTGGTTTAAATACCAGTTCATGCCTTTATAAGCGAGACACACCTTTTCAATGGGCTCAGATTAAAACTGCAGTGGTCCCCGTGAAGCTGATTAAAACTGTAAGAATGAAGCTCTTTCATTAAACTCTCTCATTTAAAGCGTGAAGGCGTTTTTCCAGTACCTTGCGTACACACACTCAATGACATTCTCGGTCAAAGGCAGTAGATTGACCACTTAAATAAACATGGACGAACTAGAACAATTGGGATGGGGGACTTTTATACATGGCCGAAGGAATTAATAATGGCAGAAAAGAATTTAAGTTGTGTCAACTTTTCTCAGGTTTGGGTCAATTTATAAACAAAGTAAAATGGCATAGGTCCTTGTGAAGCTTTTATATCCAGACAAATATGAAACCACAGACACAAAGTAAAATGGCATAGGTCCTTGTGAAGCTTTTATATCCAGACAAATATGAAACCACAGACACAAAGTAAAATGGCATAGGTCCTTGTGAAGCTTTTATATCCAGACAAATATGAAACCACAGACACAAAGTAAAATGGCATAGGTCCTTGTGAAACTTTTATATCCAGACAAATATGAAACCACAGACACAAAGTAAAATGGCATAGGTCCTTGTGAAACTTTTATATCCAGACAAATATGAAACCACAGACACAAAGTAAAATGGCATAGGTCCTTGTGAAACTTTTATATCCAGACAAATATGAAACCACAGACACAAAGTAAAATGGCATAGGTCCTTGTGAAGCTTTTATATCCAGACAAATATGAAACCACAGACACAAAGTAAAATGGCATAGGTCCTTGTGAAGCTTTTATATCCAGACAAATATGAAACCACAGACACAAAGTAAAATGGCATAGGTCCTTGTGAAGCTTTTATATCCAGACAAATATGAAACCACAGACACAAAGTAAAATGGCATAGGTCCTTGTGAAACTTTTATATCCAGACAAATATGAAACCACAGACACAAAGTAAAATGGCATAGGTCCTTGTGAAGCTTTTATATCCAGACAAATATGAAACCACAGACACAAAGTAAAATGGCATAGGTCCTTGTGAAGCTTTTATATCCAGACAAATATGAAACCACGGACACAAAGTAAAATGGCATAGGTCCTTGTGAAGCTTTTATATCCAGACAAATATGAAACCACAGACACAAAGTAAAATGGCATAGGTCCTTGTGAAGCTTTTATATCCAGACAAATATGAAACCACAGACACAAAGTAAAATGGCATAGGTCCTTGTGAAGCTTTTATATCCAGACAAATATGAAACCACAGACACAAAGTAAAATGGCATAGGTCCTTGTGAAGCTTTTATATCCAGACAAATATGAAACCACAGACACAAAGTAAAATGGCATAGGTCCTTGTGAAGCTTTTATATCCAGACAAATATGAAACCACAGACACAAAGTAAAATGGCATAGGTCCTTGTGAAGCTTTTATATCCAGACAAATATGAAACCACAGACACAAAGTAAAATGGCATAGGTCCTTGTGAAGCTTTTATATCCAGACAAATATGAAACCACAGACACAAAGTAAAATGGCATAGGTCCTTGTGAAGCTTTTATATCCAGACAAATATGAAACCACAGACACAAAGTAAAATGGCATAGGTCCTTGTGAAGCTTTTATATCCAGACAAATATGAAACCACAGACACAAAGTAAAATGGCATAGGTCCTTGTGAAGCTTTTATATCCAGACAAATATGAAACCACAGACACAAAGTAAAATGGCATAGGTCCTTGTGAAACTTTTATATCCAGACAAATATGAAACCACAGACACAATTTAAAGCACTGTCATAGAGGAATTCGGCGACAATGTTATCTCTGGAAAATACAGACAGTTTACATTTTGTGCTACGAGAAAAGTTGAGGAAACAAAATGTATGACATAAAAATGCACCATCATCATCCCATCAATTCCCTAATTAACTAGTGGCATTGTTTTGCCCAGTCTAATTTATGGCTGTTTATGAAATTAAAAATAATCCTTTAAGGCAGATATTAATTTATCTGTATCCGGAAATTTGTTTTAAAGAAATTTCGTCGACGGAAAATTGATCAAATCATTATTTTGTTTTACTATATAGTAAAGTGCGTTCAAAAAAAATTTGACGAAAATTTGAACATGTGAACTGAAAAAAAAAAGATTCGACCAAATTTCCGTTCGACCAAATTTCCGTTCGATCCAATGTCCGTCGAATAATTTTCTGTCGACGAAATTTCTTTCAAACAAATTTCCGGTAGCCTATTTCAAAATCTTTTGAGACCTACACCGAAGGTGCACACTTTACATTGTAAAGTCTTCCGAGGCCCACATATTGGGTTGCACACACATGTTTAGCATGCATTACGATCTTATCTGCCAGCAGCTTTCATGTCGGCAATGGATGGTGCAGGTAGTTCGTTTTTCAAGTAACATTTGTGCTAGTTAACAACACACACTCACAAATTTAAACACGTAAAAAACGAAAGAAAATCGTATAACTAGGACCACCACTTTTATTACATTTGTATCTTTTTAAATTTAGACGTGACGTACAGAGAATGATGTAAAATGATTATTTACGATTGAAACACGGGATTATCTGAGGTATTAGTAGATCAGTTTAAGCTGCTATATAGGATACAAAATACCTTAATTATTAAATTGATTAATATAATATTTATTTGTAAAAAAAAAAAAAAATCAACAAAAAACTTTTGATAAGAAACGTACGCCTAAATTTAAAATCAAATCTCAGAGTAGGCGTAGACATCCCTTCCCCTAACTCTTCCCATTCACAGGTCGCTTGGAGCTTAAGAAATTTGAGACCAAAGACATGCCAAAGTTGTACACCTGGCTGACAGATCACTTACCTGAAACCTGGAAGGTGAGGTCTTACAGGAGCCGATGTCAATAAACCATGACAGCTTAGAGATAAAACTTGGATTATTGGGTTTGATTCGTTATGCAATATTGCTCAAGAAAATTTTTTTGACTTTTTAAAACAGGTTTCAGAGTTTAGCCAATCTACGGGATAAGAGAACTTAAAAGTCAATATATGATAGAAGTGATTAACTACAAAAAAAGACATTGAGCGAAAATTCTGTAGACATTAAAAGGCATTTAGACAAGAAAGACATTATGGGAAAATACTATAAAACATAGTTTCCTAAAAGAACTAAAATACGTTAAACAAGAAAGGAGATTAAAAAAATAAACGATTTTTGCAGCCATGAAGGAAAATCACTAAATAATTTATTTTTTTTAATCGTAAGATATTAAACATTAGACACAAAGTAGGAGATGAAGATGATAGGGAAGGTGATAATGAAATGCAAAGATAAAATGTTAGAAGATTTTCTTCTGAGACAAAAGTATCCAGCTCCATCTTTGAAGTGTCCATTATTAACTAGCGTCACTTGGTCCTCTGGCCCGATGCTTTGGGATAATAACTTGATTAAGGTGCACTTCGGTCGGGTCACTGCTCATGTGTTAAGATCAGGCCTCCACAACTCAAAATGTAAGGTGGGCCGTAATACTTTATGAAAAACTTGTACGGGCAAAAGAAAATAGGACAGGACTTTTGAGGGCCAAAAGGAAATTGGACCAGGGGGGTGGGGGGCATCTATTAAGAAAATAATAAGAATAAAAATATATATTACGCCAGCAAAGGTCAAACACCACTACGCACGCTATATATAGATACGCCAGAGTGTGGTTCAATAATGAGTTCACTAGCGCGCAAAATATAATTCCCGATAACTATGCTAGATGATGTATATATATAATTTTTTTGTTTTTTAATAACGCAATTACGTTTGGGGCGTAATATTTTCTTTTCGTTTCGGAAATGAAATCGTCTCAATTTAAGTATTGTGTAAAAAAATATTCGGTTAAAAGTGGTTGGGACATGAGAATATTAATATAGATCATGGGCGTGAAATAAAAAGTGTTCAGTAACGTATTATGGGGGAAGGGGTGTTGCAAATCTTGGGATTCTTAAATGTGCGTTATTTGAGTTCATGTTTTGTCAAGTAACTTTACTAGATGGGAAGTTCACGCACTGCCGTCGCCAATGTTTGGCGGGCTATATATCAAGTAAAGAATATTTCGTTACTTCGCATGCCGAAAAATGGGTGGTGGCGGGCAGTATGTTGTGCAGGCCTGGTTTAGATGCATCTAAAGCTAGTAAGGCCTTGTATTTATGAGGGAATTTATCTATTGAAATTGAATTGAATCTGGGTTTTTTTCTTTCTCTCTAACTCGTAAGCTGTGGTCATCAGTAAGAGA